TACTGGGTGCATGAGTCATGTGCAGCCGATGGGAAGACCAAAAAACAAAGAGCAGAATGCAAAAAATAATAGGATGAGGCAGGGCAAAGGTTTTAAAGTGATGAGAAAAGGGTACTCAGAACCTTTGGAGATTACAGAGAAGCTATGTCAGTATTATGGGTCGAGAGAGAAGGGGAGACAGGACAGGAAGAAAAAGCAAAACCAAACCAGAATGGTAGGAGATGTGCAAAGCAAAGGGTCTGAGGAGGAGCAAAAGGAAAGTCAAGGGAGAGTGACCAAGTTAGTAAAGGGAGGGGGAGCAAGACAATTGCAGAGATGTATTAGGGTATCAAAAGAATGAGAGAGGCTGGGTGGAAAAGACCACCCTGAAGAAGAGGGAATCTTAAGAGTCTGCCATTCCCCCTCCATCAAAGATTTATAGGAGGTGGTGTTCCTTTCTTCTCTCTAGTGCTGGTGTGTTAATGTTTCATTTTGCTTGCTCTATTTTAGATACCTCAGGAAAGTCCTTTGTTTGTTCTCAGCCCAGAACTCTTGTTAGCTAGTGCTCACCTGTGCCTGGATTGGGCTGTTCCTTATCATTGATCAGCTGTGTGAGGTCTGCTTATTATTTGATTATTATCTGCTTATTATCTGATTATTTTGGCATAACTGACACTTAGCTCCTAATTGTCTTTTTCACACTTCCAAAAAAATTGAGCAATAGTAGTTGATAAAGGATTTTTTTGTTTCATTCTGTATAACAATATTACAGATTAACTTTAGTTAGGGTAGCTTGAAATAAAGCTAATGAGGGGGGTTTTTTTCTCTTAAAAGTTCAATACAAATATGGCATCATGCTTATATTGCTTTAATAAAAAATGGACAGTTTCTGAGTTTAAACGCTGAAGGAAAACCATAAAAAACTCCCAGTGATTATGGGAATTGACAAGGAAGTTTTGGGGGGTTTAGTTTGGGTTTTTCTTTTCCTCTAGCTCTTTGTTTTCAAAAAACAATTGCCCTTCTGGAAGATACAGTTTATCCAGGGAAAGAAGTGGTTTAGGTTGAGCTCAGCAGGGAGATGGTGAGTAGCATGGTCAGTATGTTCTATGAAGGGTGCTGCTGTGAACATCCTTTTTACCCTGGGTGAAAGTGTCTGAACAGAAGGAACAGTGATCCCCCCTAATCGTGGTGCCTGTTGGAAGCAGGCATTGCAAGACCCTTTTCACCTGGAAGGACACGGGCCAAATATGTGGGTCAAGGACAAGAAACAGTGAGTTCAGAGGTATTTGGAGGGAAATGGAAAGTATCAGAAATTTTATCAATTCTGATGTCTTTGATTTCTTGGAGGAGAAGAGAGGAAAAGAGCCCTCTCCTGTTTCAGTACTGAAATTGCTAAGCTTCATTTTAAAGGAGCACAAGAAAAGAACAGGGTGTAGCAGTTCTGAAATCCATGTACTGAGCTTCATGAACTTACAAAGGTGCTTTTATACCTCATTTGATATAAGGTATGGTCTACAGTGTTTTAAAATAATCTGTGTCCAAATTCAGCATCACAGGCACCCTCCCATTCTTACTTTCATCCGGTGTCACATATCACTCAGTGCAGAATAAAAGGATCAGGATTCTTTAATTCACCTCTTTGAAAACAACAACCGTGTACATCTCTATGATCTTTGAGTATTTTATTGTTGCTGTCTTTTATGCTGCTTTTCTGCTGCTTAGCACCCACTGTTAAGCATACCAAGGATAAATTCATTATGCTCTTAGTTCATCATACTCCAAGGTATTTTACAACATTCAGTGTGGCAAAAAGGCCACCTGGAGTAAAATTTAGTTTTCTCTCTTTGCCTCTAAAACTCTGCCCTGTCCACCCACTCATGCTTCCCGGTTACCTTTTCCTTCTAGCAAATGTCAACTTGGCTTTTTTTTCCTCAGTTTTGATAATTGCCTGCAACATGTGTTAATTTTCAGTGGTATTGGTCTTTTTTGTTCTTCACTTGGCATGTATCAGCTAGCTCAACCTAACTGCAAAGAATTAAGATTTATATATTTGATAGTAATGACTATTTTACATCATGAGAAAAGGTAGAGAGAGGAGGCAAGCAAAATTCCTGTATAAACTATTTGTAACTAGCCTTGAGGATTTTTTTAAAGTCAATCAGCCAAGGCCTAGAGTAGAGAGATTGTAGAAGAATGAGCCTACTTCACCCTCATATTTTCTTTCAAAATGTATATAGGTTTAATGCTCAGTTGTCTTTAGCACTAATGAATGGTTTTGATTTGTACCAGCCTAATCTTCATTTTTGGCTTCAAGCTACTTTATGTTTTCTAGTGAACTGCTGTTAAATCAGATTTTGTTACTGTATCAACTCTTTTTTGTTTGCTTTTTTTTTTTTTTCCCTATAAAGAAGGCCAAATTAGCAATAATAATTTCCTTTGCCTACAACCCTGAATGGGCATATATTGAAAAGTACAATGTAGTATTATAAAAAAAAATCCTGGAGATAAATGAATGGCAGAATAAATAATTTATGCTAATGAAATTACTGCAATTAGTAGTTCCACAATGACCCTTTTAAAAGCCACAGCTGTTAATGTCAGGAAGTGCTGTCACCGCTGACCTTATCATAAGAGAAAGTGACAAATTGAAAATGCAGGGAAGACCAATCCTCAAAGAGGTCTGTTCGGGAACGATTAGTGTTTTCTGAAAACCAGTGTGAATTACAACCAGCTGCTCTCTGGCTCGGCGTGGCTCCCATGCTGTGCCATTTTGTTAAGCTCCATAACAATAGTTATTTTGCCCCATTGAGATGAGTTGTCTCGGGCCACTTCCAGCGCCACCGGAACCCACTCCGTCCCTCACTGATTTACAAATGAAACTGTTGTTAGACGGCCTTTCAGGGCTGCTGAGTAGAGACCTCTCATAAGGATCATGTGTGAGGAGGTTGTCTTTCACTGGGAAGGGCTGTACTGCAGGGTGCGTGTGTGTCGCAAACAATGAAAAAAGGAGAAAAGGGCTGAAATGCATTTCAGTTGGAAGCTAAATGCTGCTCAAATCTGCATAAAATGTCTATTCCTGCTGACTAGCCTTGCTTTTACAAACTATTTTCTAAAAGATGAATTTGTACTACATTGCTTCCACTAATGATGTTCTGGTTTTTTCCTATTTGTAGAGCAATTTGCCTCTGCTTTCCCCAAATGCAAATCATTCTTTATTTAGTTCTTGCTTTAATTTCTGTTTTACTGATCACAGGTGAAATAAGTATTCTACTAAACTAGCTCTGAAAAGGCACAAGGAAATAATGAGTTTTCTTACTGAGAAAAATGGCAAGCCTTTCTGCATCAACCTGATTGTAATATTAATGATGTAGGCTTAAAACATTTGACTGCATCAACAGCCACTCATGAGCAATTTTCCCAAAGTTCCCTAAGCATTATTGACAATGCTTTGGTAAATTATGTGTGACTTTCCTAAGAGTTGGTGTAGCTCATTTAATTCATATTAATTGATTTTTAGGCTTCCCTTGATTAATTGAACTGGCTTCGTCTTGTAGAGAATGCAATAAATAATCATTAAAATGAGGGAGATGTGACTCCACAAATGATAAAGTTTAAGTGTGCTAGAAGTCATAGAGGACAAAATGAAAGTTAGTTACAGTGATGGAGTTAAATGGGTTTTCTTAGTATTTCCCTTTTAATTTTGCATACAGTACTCTTGTTTAGACATGTATGTGAATTTATGCTATTAGTATATGTGGATAGGGTCCTTTGAAACAAGCAAAAATTAATTCTGGAGATTTCCTATTTGTTTATCCTGGGAAAGTATACTGTAATTCAAAGGACTGGGGTGATATCTTGTACTTGCTAGTCCAGTTTTCAACAAATTTAGAAAATGGACCTTTGAACTTTGATCCTGAACCCCCTTCTTGCTGTCAGAGGTGAATAAAGACAGGCATTTTATCTCTTCATTTTCCTCAGAAACACATGACTCAATGGCCATCTGGAGCTGTTTTAAATGTGCCCTGCCTGTTTTGATTTTTACATAGTATGTGAAGAGAAATTTCCGGTCTCCAGCTGCCTTTTGGTCTCTGTGGTGAGAGAGAAGCCCCATGTGATGCTGTGTGGGACCCACCACAGGGCCACACCAGAGCTCTGGGCCCCCTTCTGCAGTGTGCTGAGATTTGCTGGCAGCTGGGGCTGTGGTTGGTGGTTTGATGCCTGGCTGGCACATAGGGAAGAGCCTCCACTCTCACAGCTGGGAGTGAATCTGAACTCCATGAGAAATAGCTACTTTTCTGCTTAATACCCCTTGAAGTCGATAGAAGGTAATTTTAGCACATAAATGCTGCTGATTTTCTGACATTTCATGGTATCTAGAGGCTCAGCTTTAGGGGGAGAACTCCACAGTGGTCTAAATCCTGCCCTCATTAGAGTTTGTTAGTCTATCTTTCTGAAGCACAGATAAGCAGGGGTGGTACAACTTTGGAAATATAAATTGTGGTGTCCAGTTCTGTTAAAACTGAAGCTGATGGCAAAAATACACTTCACTCCAAAGAGGAATTTGATGATATATGAAGTGTGTGAGGACCAGTGTGATTAGAGCAACCGCTCTACTGTATTTCTTTAACCTACAGAGAATTTCTCTTCAACAGGAGTTCCAGAGGTGAAGTAGAAAATCCGTAGAATATTAACTCTGCATGTAGCAGTATAATGAACTGGTTTAATTTCTGTTCCTAGTTTTTAGGAGTGTTTATTAAAAAAATAATAAAGTATGTTGAAGCACTGAGCTTCTGTGGTGATGATGAATGCCAGTGCAAAATTAATTAATTTACATGCAAAACAGCTGGGGAAGGCTCATTTTGCTTTAATGTTTTTTACATGCTGACAGCATTATATTTAAGGTAGATTGAAGGAGAGTTTTGTGAATGAGCCATCCTTAGAAACAACTTCTATAGATAAGTTTTGGACGCATTTCTTTGTTCCTGTGTTTTCATTTGTTCTTTTTCCTTGGGTATGTACAGCCACTCATCCAGAACTCCACGGTTTATGGGGATTTTATGGCTTCTGCCTGCACCAGTGTGAATGTCCTGAGTGCCAAGTACAATAGGCAGTACAACTGCACCACTCCAAATAGTTTTCTGGAGTAAATCATGCTTTATAATGTCCTCCTGGACAAAATACAAAACAAGAGGCTGTCATGACACATGGAACACTTGGTAAAGGCATGCAGAAGCTTTCTTCAGAAAGAGGGAAGCCAGCAGCTTTCCAGGTAAACTGTGAAAGTCACATCATTTTTTTCATTCTTTATAAATAATCTTTGTTTTATTGCAAATCATCATCACCTTTTCATTAGACTGATTAGTTGTGGAGTGGCATTTTTACATTTCATTGACACTACCTGATTTTTGAAGCTGGAGTTTATATATATATATATATATATATATATATTTCCCCCCCCCTTTTTTTTTTTTTTTTTTAGTAGAAGCTCTTTGAGCTCTTTAGCTGCCTTTGGAGGCAGGAGACAATCTATTTAAGCAAGGACAAAGTTTAGAGGTAGGGGGAATGTAGTGGGGCTACTGTAAAATGGTGGGAGGGAAGCAAGTGCCTCAGTAAAAGCTAAATCCAAGAGAAAGAGAAGAAGCAGCTCCATACATGTGAATTTTGAGGGGTAATGAAAGCAGGAGGAACATGTGTGAAGCCTTTCCATGGGGTGCTGTCCCCTGCTTGTGAGGCTAGTGCCACTGCGCCCCAGTCAGTGCTTCTGCTTAGAGTTCATTGGGGGTTGACCAGCCCACAAAGACAGAAAGGAGAGGAAACTGCTTAGAAACCTTGACCCCATCCCACCCACACACATGTTCCCTAATCCCCTTTGCAAATTCTGAAGACAAACCATAATCCAGTGATTTCTTTATTAAAAACTAAAATTCTGTGTGCTTTTATGCAAATGAACTGCTCAGCTGCAGGCTTTGCATAACATTGCATCTTGGTGCTGCTGCATGAGGTTAATAATGGGAGCTGGCTGGCTTATTCCCACTTGATCAGCTGAAGGCCTTCCAAAAAATGGTCAACAGAGAAGAGTGGCTGAGTTTTTAAAGTCTGTTTTTAATAAAGTAGCCCCTGGTAGTAAATTATTACCATGTTCTTTTTTCTCTGATTTCTAATTTGATGAGGACCAAATGGTAATTGGACAATTTCATGTGCTGCATGCTGTTCTGGCTGACAGACCCACAGCTCCAGGCACTATCTCTAGCCAAGCACTTGAACATTGAGCCATTTTTACCCTGCACTCTGGAGCTTTACAGAAGAATATCAAATGAAGCATTGTTTAGTATTTTCCTTAAAGAAAAAGACATAAAGTCAGCTCAAACAAATTGAACAATAAATAAGTGGAGAGATTTGGGATCTCTACAGTCATCTGGTAAAATTCAGTATTACAGCTCTGTCAAATCAAATGGTCAAATTTTGAAAATTCATTTCAAAATTTCAGGATTTCAGGAGCCCACCAAATCAGGAGAGTCCTCAACAGCTTCTGTATGATTAAATTTTAAACCCTCTAACATTTGTCTTCCACTTTGTTTTATCCAGATCAGATTACCAACACTCCTCTGGTTAAAATATATCTTGATTAGCTGCCAGACAAAATGATTGGTAGGTTAGCAGAAAAACAAAACAAACCCAAACCAAACCAAACTCACAGTTATTTGAAAAAGTTTCTTTATATGTGAGGAGATATTGTTGCTGGATATTTTTATATGAGTTTCTCAACTGGCCGGCAATGAATTGCTATTTCAGCACAATAACAGGTAGTTTTTGTTCGGCAGTCTCTGACTGTGCCTCATCTTTTCAGCAAGGCTCTGCTGGAGTTATGTGCTCAGAGTGAATACCAAGCACTTTTCAGGGCATCCCTCTGCCCTTGCACTGGCGCCTTTGCCGAGGGCAGCAGCTGCGCCTCTTTTGCACCGCTGCAATATCTGACTGCAGCCCCAGCCTCAGCAGCAGGACAGACATCTGAGCATCCCAGGTGAGCCCTGGGGTCTGTGGGGGGTGTGCTTAGGCTGCCATTATTAAATCATTTATGTCCACAAAATTCTGTCGGGTACAAATGGGAAAAAACATTAAAAAATGAATAGACAATGCTGCTTGTTAGCGACCCACAAAACATGAGTTTTGTTTTCAGCTCAGCTTTTGGATCTCACAACTATGCCTAATGTTCTGAATAATGCATTACCTTTTGCCCTGTAGGTAGAAGATCTAAAATCCAAACTTGCTACTCAAGAGGCAGAACTGCAACTGAAAAATCAAGGTACTGAAGCTTTGATTGCTAAGATAGGGTGTCAGACTGAGAAACTGAGCCAAGAAAAGGCCATTGCAGATGCAGAGGAGCTAAAGGTCAGTCTAATTCTCCTATTTACTGATGTTGAGCTATATTTAACACAAAATAAACCTTTTTAGGTGAACAGTTTTGAACAACTTCCTCTCCAGGGAGCATAAGTCTAAAGAATTATTATACTTACATATGTAACAGCATTTCACACCATGATTACCACTTGACCTTTCTTTACATCATGCCTTTTCCTAACCTTTTAGCTGTTTTAATGAGATGAAAGAACAATAAATACTGAACTCATTCAAGCATTTAATGGATGTGGATCTTGAGAATCAGACCTATTTGTAATACAGTAAAGGTCAAAGAGTCATATCTTAACACTTCAGGTTTCTAAAGGCTTTGGGGCTCTAGGTAAATTGAACAACTCAATTGATACAGTTCATTCCACCATTTTACAAGGTATATACCTTGAATCTTAAGATTATAATAGCATTCCTGACAATATGTGCCTTCAGCATTGACTCTCCTTCTTTTCCTCCCAGTTCAGCCTATTAGCATGAGTTATCAACATCTGTGTTGGAAACTCAGAGGCTCACATGCTTTACTGTTCACTGCAGAATGAACAGAAATGCATAATTCCATCAGGAGTCTAACATTTCCATCTACAGTTGCAAGCATGGCTTTTGAAATAAAGCACCAGTATTATGGAGTGCTGTAAAGTGAAGTTCCTCTGCCTTTAGAGTTTGGAAGGCTCATTCAAATCTGGGATTTGGCTACAAAATCTCTTGTATGTTGTGTCATTGACCGATAGTGCAGAAAAAAGTTCCTAATTGACTTGTAATAGTTGTTAATAGCCTGATTTTGAGATATGGAAGCTTCAAGTTTCCAAAGATTTTGTAGTTTCCAGATATTGATCAGCAGGAAGGATTGTCCTGTCTAAACATTCAAAATGGCCTCTCATTTTCTTCTATTCTATTTCTTAAATACTTACCACCAGATGATATTTAATGCCTTTCCAAAAACCTTGTGTCTAATCCTAATTTTACTGAGAGAAAAGTAATTTTTGATACTGAGATAAATGAAGACATGATCAGGACCTTTATATTTCTCTGGATTATGCTAACTTCAGCTTTTTGCTGATCCATATCTCGCATAGGACTTAAAAATGGCCATGAAGTTTCAAGTCTAAATGGTGCAATTAATTAAACTTGTACAAATGGGATCCAACAGTTCAACATCCTACCAAGCACTTTCCATGTGATGCTCTTTCTTTATTGGTTCCATATGCTTCTGATAAATTTGGATGTTCAAAATACACCCTTAACACAATTTTAATTACTTCATTAAGCAGCTAGGTGAAACACATAGAGTAATTATTGTGAGATAATCACATCTTTGGGCCACTTTGTTTCAGGGATGAAGTTCAGTGCCTGACACTAATGATTACTGTACGCCACTGTTCATTGCTTTATTGCACTTCTGAAATGTTTTCATTGGAAATGAAAGTGTCATTTTGTGCTACATTAATCTAAAACTGTTTCATAAGGCTAACGATAGTTTCTAAACACTAATCTTCTCTCATTTTTTGTTACCAAAAAAACCCTAGCAAATGAGAATACATCTTTAGCTAAGTAATTTGTGAAGACTCTTCCTAATTGATTAAAATATGTCACCCTTTTAAAAATTATTTTTGCTCTCCTGTTCTATAGATTTTAAATTGGAGCTTACAAGAGCTTTTTGAGTTTTACAGCCTTAAGCAAATAAATACCTTGGAGGTATTGACTTGGAGTGAAGTATTACTTAAGAAAGAATAGGTGAAGAATGGAAATCACTTAAGATCCAACTTATTAGGAAATTTAGGTCAGTCTGCATTCCACATAACTGTGGCAGGGCTCCACACCTGTATAGTAATAAACAAGGGTTTTACCATGAAAATGACACTGGCAAGGTTTTAAAATAGTGGGCAGTAACACCGCTGTCATTTCGGTTGCCATTATTGTGCTCTGAATGTTGTCAGCAGCTTACACGGGAAGGTGTACATGCCTTTGCCTTTTAAAACAGGACATACCCTTTTAAAGACAAAAAACGTGCAGATCATAGCGTAGGTACATGTGTGACAGTGACACTAGCTGAGGATTAGGAACAAATTATAAAAGCTGCATTACAGGAGATGAGAGACATAGTTGACTTGTCATTTGATTAGTAACTTGTCATTTATAATGTAATGCAAATTGATTTTTAATATTTGTTATTCCCACAGACAGTAGCTGTATGTGTCCTATCAAATAAATGTGTACATGGAAAATGTACCCAACAATTTTAGAAACAGGTTTTGTAAGGTTATTAAATTCTTACAGAGGCTTGTTACTACCAATGCAGAGTGCTTGATACAAGTATTAACATCTTGATCACTGTAATATCTTCTTTCTCTGTAATTAAACTAGGTTTAAGCAAGACCTGACAGGAAATGAGTCTGTGAGATGAGCATGAGGTACAAGGATAAGGATGAACCAAGTATAACTGACTTCAGCCTCAGGCAATGTATCTTTAAAAGTGTGCATGGTAATCTTCCAAATACACAATTGCTGATGATACAGAATGCCCCCCAGGTTTACTCTCCCACATAAATTTGCACCAATGAAATCATAATCTGCTTTTAAACAGGTAATTAAATTGTTGCAGAAAGTTGTGGAGGCACTCAGATTTCATGTAAGACTGATGTTAACTGATGTAAAGTCACTGATCTAAGCCACTGTTAAGCCAAAATAAGCGTCTTGACAAAGCTGCTTGAACTGATGATTATTCAATTTCCAAACATGAAATTAAGTACAGTGTTTCCATATAGGATATTTCCATTTCTCTCATTCCCTCCCTTGTTGTGACCTATGGTTTCAGACTTGAGGAATAAAAAGGAGGCAAATTTGGCAAAAGATGGAGGCTGGTTTGACAAATTTTAAATGTTTTCCTATATCTCAAAACTAGAGTGAATATTTTGCTATTTAGGGAAAGCTCCCGTGCAACACTGAACCAGTCATTGTCTTCTTGGTATTTCCTCTAATTATCTAAAAGAAAACACTTTGAAGGGGAAGAAGGGGCAGGGAGGGAAAAAAGTTGATGGGTCTCAAAATCTTAGCAAAAAGTCTTCACTCTCTTGTTTAGCTCCAGATTGTGCATTTGAACCTAGATCATGAAAGGCTTGCAGCTTCCTACTGCAGTGGCATGGGCTACTGAGTTCCCCCCTGTGTTCAGTCACTCCTCGGGAGTAACACACTGCCCTAATATCCCCCAGCTTTTTGGCACAGATACCTGCTCTCCTGCCCTGCATCATTAGGTAACACCCCATCCCTCAGGCATGGCAGTCACACCACTCGCTTTGGAGTCATCTGCAAACTTGCTGAGGGTGAACTTGATCCCACTGTCTGTGTCACTGATGAAGATTTGAAACTCGCCTGTATCTCCCCCCAGCCTCCCATGCAGCCCCAGCCTCACCAGCATGGCAGTACAAAAGGCAGAAAAGGCCTTGGCTCTGCTCAAGCCCTGCTCAGCAAGAACAAAAACATCTCTGCATTATCAACCCTGTGTTCAGCACAAATCCAAAACACATCTCCAAACCAGCCATTGTGAAGAACATTAACTCTACCCCAGCCAAAACCAACGTCCTGTCACATTAAGGGAAAGGGCCTAAGGATGCAAGGTGGAAAGCCGCAAAACTCTTTATAGGAAAGGGAAATATCAAATGGACATCAGATAATATCTGAGATGGAGGAAGAAAATAGTCAAAAAAGAGAGTCAGAGAAAAAGAAAATAAGTCACATCTTCATTTTCTTGCAGGTTGAATTTAGGGGGAGAAGATTTGACCCTGCATCACTCTTTTCTGTGTACCTTTGGGGACAAACTCAAGCCAGCCTGAGAACCACTGGGATTTATTGAATGCAGAACCAGGAGAAAACGAAAGAGAGAACATTCCATTACATTTATGCAATTTCCCCCTAATTTCCCAAGCAAGACATAAATCACAGATTGTATTTGTTACAGTGAATACTTCTGTATTTTGGGGAAAATATTTTTGCCTTGTACTGAACAACATTTCTAAATCAATTAGCGAGTGCAAGGTTCCAGTTTTACCTTTGAAGTGAAAGTAGGATTTAGCTTCTGCTTCTCACAAAAATTGCACATTATATACACTATAACTTCTCATAGGTTGATGACTCTTGGCAAGATTTAATCAACTATGATAAGGAACATATTTTTCAGCATTGTCTGAAGGTCGCCAGGTAACATTACTTGAAGGATCCACATTTCAAACTAAATTATGTTCATACAGAATCCTTTGCAGCAGGTGGTCTCTGTTCCTGGGCCATCAATAGAGTAAAAATCAGTGAGGTATGTATATATCAGCTCTTGAACTAGCCCTAGTGGGGGAATTTCAATAATGATTTTTTTTTTATTATTTTATTAGGCTCAGCTTAATGTTTTGGGGAGCTTGTAACAACCACCAGAGACCAAGTGGGAAGTGTTCAGTACTTGGCAGTATGTATGCATGTATTTCCTTTTATTAGGAAGTGGTAAAAAAGATGTAGCTGTCCAGGATTTTTCAGCTGTCATTACGATGCAACAGTTGGAAAATATTCTCCAGATGTACATGTTTCACTTGAAACATCCATCCTGGCTCTGGCTGTCTGGAGTATGAGACAGGGCTTATCACTTGTGATTCCCTGGAGCACCTGGCAGCAGGATTTCTCCATTCATCCTAGCATTATAGCATGCTCATTTAATTACTGAACAGTAAAGAACTTATCAATTGTAGATGAAATCTACTCAAGTGTAATGACTGTCTCATTTCCACCTGTATTCTAAAATCATGAAAGTGATACCTATAACTTAATTCTAGTTGGAGAGTAGACCCACTAAGATGGCATTTAGTTTGCTAAAAGTGTTCTTCTATAGATTATCATAAAATCTTCTGTAGTCAGTAATGAAAGAAATCTTTGCCTGCCTCACTGTTGTGTAGAAAAATGGGTCTAAAACAAAGATATGTAATGAAAGACTACTGGGATTATCTTAAAGTCTTTCATCAGGAATAGTTTGTAATTTTTGTGATAAAATGGGACCAATTTCTTCTCTAATGTACTAATGTGATATGTCTTTTTCAAGGTGTATTGTGAGAGAGAACCAAAATATTGTGCAGTGGCTCAGGCTAACACTGAATTAGCAGCAGCTGTAGAAAAACTAGAAGTCATCAGGGAAAAGCTTCTTGTAAATATGGCTTGATTAATAAACATTCTATAACACCTCGAGCCCCCTTAATTTCATTAACTTTTATTTATTTATTTTAATGTGTTTTATTTTTATTGATTTTATTACTACCTCGTTCAAATATCAAAGGCATGCTCTCATTAGGGATTATCACTATTTTCCCCAGAAATGTACTGAAGACCATTGTGCAGCTTGGGTGGCAGCCCATGAAGCTTTTTACCCAAAATGACTGAATTTCCTCAAAGCCATCTAGGCACATTATAACTAATAATTGGAATGGTGGTTGATAAAAGTAACTGACTGTGAGTTTTCCAAGGAATATATGCCAAATTTTTACACCAGTAATGACCTACTGCAGTATAGCAATAACATCCAGAAAAGGGCTTTAGAAGCTCAAGCTCATTTGCGTTAACATTTGTCATTAAACATACGATAAAAGCAGCATCAAATCTCCTCTGATTTTCTGAAAGACCCACAAACATGGGTACACGTGTGCTCACATGCACATAGAAGAGGAAACTTTGTTTATTCTTTTACTGACAAGTGTCTTGTGAGTTAATGATGTAATTGAGGACCCCACTTGTCATCAAGTATCTATTGAACTTTTGAGAGGGATTATTTGTTGTGTAAGTATGCATTTAATGGAGCAACTGCAGCACAAAGCACTCTTGATACAAAGACATCTCATGGTATCTTGGGAGATGGTGGGTGGTAGGAGTTTCTGCTGCAAGCTAATCAACCTTACTAAGCAAAGAAATCTTCAAATGCTTTGAAAGCTGTGACACTAATTAGGTTTAAAAGACTTTGACTTTGCCTCAGACCTTTTTGTTGGTAATATTTAGATCTGTAACCTCCCAATTTAAGATATCAAGCAATAAAGGCTGAACAAATCTGTAATGTGGCATTTATTCTCATTGCTTTCTCTTGAACTGGCATTTTAAAAGAATGACAACATTCACTTTTATGGAAATTCTTGCAAGCCCGTGAGTTATGGTATTTTATAATTTAATTCTTTATTTCAGGAATTTCCTGGTTTTCTTCCTGCTATTTTAATATCAATTTTTTTTCTTGTTGTAAAGGAGATACAGTTTTAATGGCTAAACAAAGACAGATTATACCATCTGGCTTTATCTTCTGATCCCTCTGACCCCCACCCAAAAAATCCCATCAGCTGTTACAGCAGGTATTTTTCTTCCATGTGAAACAGCCTTAGCCTTATGACCTTGGAGTTGCCCGTTTACATCAAAATCTACCCTAATGAAGCCTCTGTCTGCACTAAAAGACAGTTTTATGGAAGCATCATGCTTTTTATTTCACACATCTATACTGATATGGGTCCACTAAGTACAAACACTTTTGGACAAAAATAGCCTTCTAGTGTTGTTTTGGGGAGATTTTATATTTTTTGCCTTTTTTTAATACACAGCAGTCACCCCTGAAACTCTTAGAATCTTTTATTGTTTTAATGTGCTCCTCTGAAAAAAACACTAATACATCTCTTTTCCTTGCCTGACAGTATCTCAAATAACCTTTTCCTGGTTTAGGTGACCTTGCAATCAATCATCTTCCAAATCCAAATCTTTTTTTGCAATTTTTAACTTCCCATTTTTTTTACATTTGTTTACTATACCTTTTTTATGTTTATTTACTTCCCCTTTCCTCTCCTCATGCATTTTTCTGGGGGTTGTTAGCTTCAGTATTTCTCACAGCTGTGTTAGTTCCTAATAGGGAGAATTCTGCACTACAGGTGAAGTTTCAATTCCTTTGCATTTGTCTGTTTCCTGTGTCAAGTCAAAACTTGTCATACTGTCATTTACTATGAATATTTTTACTAACCACTTTTTAAAATCCATACCGCATATTCAACCAGGATTCCTTTTACATGGTGGGAGGATGCCATTAAAACTCCTATTTTTATAACTGATTCATATCCTTGCTGATCCACCTGATGAACTTTTCTAAGGAATTGTAGCTTTAATTTTTAATTCTCTAGCAGGTATTACTCATAATGATAATAAACTCCAGAGCTCATGGGGTTGTTGAATGAATAACTCTAGAGTTGGACAAATTCATTGTTAACAAATGCAAAATAACATATTTGAACTTTTTATGAGTACATCTTGATTGTTGTTAATAGATTCATATCTTAGGAAAGAAGACATGGGGGTTGATCATGAAGAATTCAAAGACAACTTTAAAGTTATTCCTGTACTGAGTTGAGAGTAGGAGTGGATTACCCCCAAAGGTCCTTCTAAACTATATCATTTTATAATTCCAAAAATAAAATTGAAATTTCAGCAGAAGAATGAATAGGAAATACCTGTCTAGGCAGTGTGTCTCCTGTATATGCTAAGATCTATTTCTAACAATTAAGTAAGTATTATATAGTAAAATTTCCTGCACCCATCACTCAGGAAAACTTGGTTTTGACTTGTTTCTCATAATGGACTTGTGATTACTCCAGAAATTTGAAGATGCCAAGAAGAAATTCAGTTTTATGAAAAACCTTAAAAAATGTACCCTTACATAATTAATGTCTTAACCTACCACTTCTGTACTGCAGATTATTGGCAGGTTTTTTTTCTTTTTTTTTAAGGCAAATTATTCTTCTTGGGCATTTCTGTATTTGCTTCTGGTGATCCACATGTTGCATTTATCTCAGGAAGAATGTCCAGTCACCATTTTTAGGGGCTCTCCTATACAGTCTCAAATCACTTCCAAACCTTCAGTTACAGAGCAACCTTCGCACATGCCAGTGCAAAATATTGTACATTCAAATGTCTTGCAAATTCCAGATAGGAATAGGATTTTCATCTAATGTGTAATCCTTTCTCCCATTTGTGAGGTGATCGAAGTTACTGAATTCCACAAACTGGTTAACTACATATATGCTGTAACCAAACAGCTTCCATACACTTACACCAGCAATCATTTCTCTATTTTACTCAAACCACATAATTTCTCATTAATGGAGAGAAAATGTTAAAATGTTATTTAAAGAAAATATTTGAAAGTCATTGAAGTAACGTAGTTTTAATTACATGTCTAATTTTATGTAATAGCTGTGTGTCAGACTGGAAGTTATCACAATGTCTGTAAGTAGTGTATAGCATTAAGACACATATAAATGACTTTGATAGCTTGCTGAGTACTGGTGACTAGAAGGGAAAAAATTTGCAATTTAGCATGCCCCAGAACTCCAAACAATCTATGAAGCTTAGAGGGAATTTTTTTCCAGAATTATAACAAGCTGGGATTGTGACACCCACTTTATAAAATGTTAATTCAAAAAGTTTCACTTATAGGAAATTATATGGCTGAGAGATGTATTTCTTCTGATGGTTTCCTACCTGTGAAATGTTAGAGGATGATGAGAGACTGCTCATAAGAAAAGTTCAGCAGATGGAATGAAGTCTGCAGATTGGTGAGTACAGGTTCTCTTCCTGTCTTTGCATTTTGCTCTCTGGGTTCATCCTTTTTCTTCATGTAAACATGTACAACATGGTCAACAGAAAATAAATTTCTCTGCAAATTTTCATCCCTATTCAATGATCCTGAACTGCACTGTTCAATGTTACATTTAAAATCAGTTCGTCTTCCTCAGCTGGAAACTTGCATTAATCCACATGATAAAGTACATGGTGTGCAGTGTGCTGTTCATGGGGATGACTGTTATGTACAGCAGTAGCATTAACCAGAATTACCTGATGAAAAGATGCAAATTCAGCATGAAACATTGACATTTTACTGTCATCCATCTTAGGGTTCAAATAAAGTGCTGTAGACATATTCAGCAGTTTTCTTTGTCTTTTCTAGAGAGTTTTACATATAGCAAAGTTTCAACAGTTCCATTTTTACAACCATGGTACTTCTTGATCTGCTTGTTTTCATTCTTCATTCAGTATTATGCAATGTGGACCACTGGCCTATGCAACCTGTTCCAGCTGGTTCATGTCAGGCTTTTTTAAGGTAAGATTCACTGTGGAAGGGAGTCTGTGAAATTAGTATAAAGGGAAGGCAAACTTGTATTTTTTTCTGGGAGAAGAAAAAATGAACCAAGCAGGCACTTCTTAGCAACAGGTACTTAGATTTTATTTACCTTAGCAGCTGATAAACCTGTGTAGCCCATCAGCCTGTAAAAAGCTCTTAGTGCTTGACCGAGTTGAGTAAACAACTCAGAGTTGTGTCCATAAAAACAAGAATTTTTCTGATATTAAAGGAAGATCACTCTTTATATTTGGACATTTTTCTGTGCCTGTCTCTCTGGGCTATCAGTCAACTGTATCCAGTCAGCAGGATTGGCCCCTATACTTCAGTTAATTTCTTGCCCTTTTCCCTTTCAGTCATTTATTTGCCTGTCTCTTTTCCATCTTCCTCTATCAATTTTCTGAAGAATGAACTTGAAGGCAGAGCATCAGATGCTAGTGATCTCTGCTTCTGCACTCATGGATATTCTGTGCTCCCTGACTCATAATTCAGCTTCTTTCTGTTGGCAGAGAGAGAGAGGCAAGGAGAGTTGTATGTATTTTTCATATGGAAGTTTTTGTGGCCAGCAATTCTCAGCAGTGATAACCAGTGCAGCTGTTAGTAATCAATAACACACCTTCAGTCTAGGCAGCACAGTTGCTGACCTCCTTTCACTTTCCATGGGCTCCAGAGTACATCTTTAAATGAGAAATGATGAGGGGGTGGGCTACCCCTGCAGTCAGCTCTCAGACAGCACCAGGTTGGGCAGGAGTGTTGATCTGCTGGAGGGCAGGGAGGCAGAGTGAACTGGACAGGCTCTCCTCCCAGGCAACAAGGACAAGAGAAAATAGCCTCAGGTTGTGTCAGTGAATTATTATTTTGCATATTAGGAAAAATTTCTTCACCAGAATGGTTGCCTGGTAGAGTCACTTCATCCCTGAAGGTACTTCAAAGATTCGTAGGTGTGGCATTTGGGGACATGGTTTAGTGGTGGGCTTGGAGGGCAGTGCTGGGTTACCAGTTGGAGTCAATGATCTTAAACGTAATTGCAGATCAAAATTATTTTATGATCTATGGGCAACATTGTAATAAATGTTGTTACAGTAATCTTTTTTGATGGTGAATATACACAGGCTGGTACTAATAATAGAAATAGACTGTGTAATTCAAATATTTTAAATGTTCTGAAGATGATTAAAAAATATTCTGTGGAGGATGATGGCTATGAATCCTTTCTTGTATGTTAAATTTGTAATATCCCATCAAGTCCAACAATTTCTTTATAGTAAATTGATTACAGTAAATTGAATGAAAATGTAGTTAGGAAATATCAAAAAGGATCGTTTCTTCACAAGCAAAATTATTTTATAAGTATTTTGAGTGGAAATAAATCAGATTTCAATCATTCATGAGACTTGTTATCTGCTAAAAATATTGTGAAAATTATGATTTTTATATTCACATATATTTCATAATAAATATGCCTATACTATGCAAGAAAAGAAAAAAAAGAGAAGCTAAGTTTAGTAGTGCTAAGGCTAAAAAGTTGGGCCAAGCTGATCCTTTTTGCAGAAGTGGTACAATTTGTATTATTTATCATTACAATCATCGCTATTAATATATGAGAGCACTTAAAATGTACTCTGTACCTGACAAGGATTATCCAAGGGCACAGTTCAGCAGGCTTGCTATGGAGAGCAATGGCTCTCTGCTGTGATTTGTGGGGCACAGTTTCCTGGCACTAGCTTCCTTGAAAACAAGTGTATTTAAAATACATGGTTTATCCCATAGGGTGTTGAATTTAGGGTGCTGGGGTATAAAATGCAATATGTATTTCTGCTGATGCTAGGCTTTATTTATGTTGCATGCTATGAAAAGATGACAAAAGGGAATGGTGTGGTTTGTACTGACAACTTTCCTATTCAGAAATCATAGGATAAGAACTGCTGTGATAAAGGAGACTATTATATACCAAAAAAAAAAAATCAAATCCCACAGATATCGAGGCATTGCTTACTGTTTGTCTCACTCTCTCATCTTTACTACCTGAGCCTTTGATGGATGATTGTACTTGAGCTATAGCCAGCTCTGTGTTATCATGCAGGCAAACTTGAGGTGTCTAGAAATAAGACTCACCTTAAAAACAGTAGTGAACTGTTACTGTGCTCCTTCTTCTTGTGCCTTGAAGGCTGGGTTGATGAAGTTTTACTTATAGCCCATCTCTGTTAGATGCCCTTACTGAGGGTGAGTTCTCATACTTGAGTGTAAGTCCTCAGTAGTCTCTCAATCTAAGATTCATCGTCATATAAAGTGGATTGGCTGCCTCATTATCCCTAAAGAAATCAAGTCAACCTTCTTTTTTAATCTATAAGATGCATCTTTCCCCCTTTGCCAATAAACTTATTTTAAACTTATAAATAATTTCTAAATTTCCTGTTTGCACACCACCAATTCAAGCATCAAACCTGACAGAAGAGAGCCAAATCTTTGATCCTGTAATAATGGTAAAAACAGCTTTTTTTGAGGTATGCACAATGTGTTCCTGCTGCTGTTTTTTCATTAAGCCCCACAGAGGAAAATTTTGCCCTGAAGTGGAAGTCACTGTTGTTAGCTCTGTATGGTACTCTAGAG